TTAGAGACCCGACCCTCAGGGACCCTCCGAGCTCCTTTACTCACAGGGACACGGTGCGGTTGGGCAACAAGGCGGGCTGCAAAGTTTCCACCAACTCGCCTCCGCTGCAGACAACTTTGATGCGGACGGTCTGTCGGCCGGGTCCCTTGGAGCGCTCGGCGGTGCACAGGCAGCTGTCCACGACCAGGTCCGGGCAGTTGCGGTTGGCCGCCGACAGCCCCGCCACGGCGGCCGCCACCAGGCAGAGGCAGCAGCACAGCCCTTGCATGGCGAGGGGGGCGGGCGGCGGCGGCGGCAGCAGCGCCTCGGCTGCTCTCCTGCGCTTGGGTGGCTGCAGAGGGAAAGGAGGAGGAGGAGGAGGAGGAGGAGGCGGCAGCTGCTGTGGCTGCTGCTGAGGCGCTCATGGCATGGTCGGCGCGCCGCCGGCACAGGGGGCTCGCTGCCCACCACCACGCCTCCTCCGCCCTCTCGCAGTGGGGCATAGGCGGGGAGGCGCCCCCTCGGCCGGGCAGCGCCGCGGGGCGGACCCCAGCGCCGCCGCCGCCGCCGCCACAAACTTGGCTCTCTCCCTCTTCGCCACGCCGCCCGCCTCTCGGCTCCTCGCCGGAATAATGCCTCCCTTTCTCCTTCACGCCAAAGTGTCGCTGAGGTGGAGGGAAAAGGTTGGCCGCGCCTCCTCCTCGCCGGCCGGGGACATCCCGCCAGGAGGGGGCAGCAATGGCGTCAGGGCGCGCCACCCGCCCCGGCGAGGCGGCCGAGAGGAAAGGGCCAGCGCCTTTGGGAGCGGTTCGGACGCATTCTTCGCGCGCTTTTCCCGCCTGCTCGGTGGAGAGAGGGGGCTGTCAGAGCAGGCGCCGCGGAGCAAGAAGTCCCGAGTTGCCGAGGGACAGAGTCACAGGTGAGCCTGCCGAGAGGCAGGCACACCTGTGGGAAGGGAACAGGGCGAGCACGAGGGATGGATTTACATCTATGCTAAACAAGCTATAGCTTAGGGCCCCACACTCTTGGGGACCCCCCAAAAAAGTAAAGGGGGGAAAATACTGGATGTACATTTCCAAAATATAAGATAAAAAATAAATAAAATAAAACCTACATGCAGCAACAGTTTTGTTTTGTGTTGTGTAGGCTCCTATGATGTAAGTAATGGGCCCACCTGCTAGCCTGCTCCCTAAAATATCACTGGTTTGCTCATTTCTATATATAGGGTATGGGACGCGGGTGGCGCTGTGGGTAAAACCTCAGCACCTAGGACTTGCCGATCGTCAGGTCGGCGGTTCGAATCCCTGCGGCGGGGTGTGCTCCCGTCGTTTGGTCCCAGCGCCTGCCAACCTAGCAGTTCGAAAGCACCCCCGGGTGCAAGTAGATAAATAGGGACCGCTTACCAGCGGGAAGGTAAACGGCGTTCCGTGTGCTGCACTGGCTCGCCAGATGCAGCTTGTCACGCTGGCCACGTGACCTGGAAGTGTCTGCGGACAGAACCCTAGAGTCTGGCAAGACTGTCCCGTACGGGCAGGGGTACCTTTACCTTTACCTTTATATATAGGGTGGACTGGTTGCATGGCGCCATGTGCAAATAACTTTAGATACTTATTATGTCCATAAATTACCATATAGGATATATTAAACACAAAAAGCAGCAATAATTTGTTGTTGGCAAAGGACAGCTGGACATATAAAGGGCCCCATTACCTTAAGTAGCTTAGGGCCTCATCAAACCGAAATCCGGCCCTGGCGACTCAGAAGCCCCATCGCATTGAGTGGGGCTTGCTCCCACTGAGACGTATGTAGGTTTGGGCCCTAAGGCTTCTTAACGTTGCCACACTGAGCAGTGAATGGGTGTCACCTGGTCCACCGTCCAGCCATTCCCATGATGAAGGTAAAATGAGGAAGTTTGGGTCACACGACATTAGGGAGCAGAACAACCCCTTGCAGTGAATAAATTGGAATTTTGTATATTATTTGTATGCCACCGGAATCTTCCGAGTGGTGCGAGAGGCTTAATAATGCTTGAGGAAACTGCGGAAACTGTGGTGTCTTTAGGCTATATGGTTTATTTGCACATATATGCAACCCTGAGTCTATGATGAAGGGGTTCGCAGCATCAATACCCCGAAAGGTTCTTGTTTCTTCCGTAGCCACAGATTCCAGCAGAAATCAGCCATGGCTCTCACTCTGCCTTTCCGTAGATACAGCTTTGGCATACATCTTCTAGCTCACATCACTCAGTTCTCCGGCCTTTGGTCTTTCCAACTAACAGGCAGATGAGGAAAGGAAGCCCACCCATTAGTTTTCTGGCACAGAGCCACTCCCTTTGTTCCCTTAATTACCCATCCTTAGTGGGCCACTACCAGGCAGGTCTGGCAATTCCAACAACTGGAAGGGGGACCCAGGCATTAGAAGGGTCTTAACCTATGGCCTACTCCCTACCAAAAAAAACCACCCTCATAACACTATGTTTTGTGTGCTAACAGGATATAAGGGGAACAGTTGGATTATGTAGTATGATCCTCAAAAAGGAACAATCCTCCAAACAACATTTTAGTGTGTAACCATCAACAAATGGGATATGAAAAGTACCTGTTATCTACCCACTCAGCTTCGGCTGCTTCCTGTAATGGTTCCAAGGTGCCTAGACATCTAACAGATCATATCAAGTAGCAGCATGAGATGGGCTCCCTGTTGTCACTTGATTCCCAGGGCCTAGATGGTTCTGGGTTCTGTTATTAATAGCCCTATTCTATCAACATTCCCCTCTTCATACGATTAACAGTCACAGGGATGGGGAAATGATATATAATGAGCTAAAGAAAATGTTTAAAAACACATTTGTTAAAAAACCAGAAGCCTTTTTTGTTAGGTATAACAGATGACGAGTTACCAAGAGAAGATATAAGAATTTTTAAGTATGCAACAACGGCAGCGAGAATGCTACTATCCCAGAGATGGAAGGAAGGAGAAGTACCAACAAAAGAAGAATGGCAGATGAAACTGATGGAGTATGTGGAGATGGCGAAACTGATGGGGAAGATCCAAAACCAAGAAGATCAAGTATGTACTAAAGATTGGAGTAAATTTGTAATTTACTTAAAAGACACTGTAAACAGTTAAAATCTTTGGCAGGGATGTAAGGACACTTGTAATGTGGAATTATTTATGATAATTATGGTAAATTAATAGATAATGGTAAAAAGATGCAGCAAACTTAAATTTAAATATGGAATCCATGGAGGAAGGGAGGTCTGAAAGGTTCAAAAGAACCTTGTATTTGAATGTTTGAAAAGGTTATGTTTTATATGTATAAAATTATTAAAAACCTAATTTAAAAAATATATTTTTAAAAAATCACATGGATGGGAAAGTAGGATTGCACCCACTCATTCTATCCTCACCATCTAGTCTCTTTTCTTTTAAAAAAGGGCTGATTCCAGAGGCGGCATAGAAGATCCAGAGTGTGTCAGTGCTTGCAGTGTCCTATGTGATTGATACTGGTACGAGGCCCAGAAGAATGAGGGCCTGGTGTCCAGCACCACACCGCCTGCCTATATCAGGAGCAAGAATCTGGCCCAGCATTCCATGCTCAGCAGAAAGAATAACAGTGGAAGAGGAATAACGACAACTTTGTTTATATAGTGACACACACATTGTCGCCAAAGCGTGTTCTCCCTAGCAGAGAGCACGTGTTGTGGTTGGGGTAACAAGCCACCATGCCATGACTAGGCGGATTTGAGAAAGGCCCAAGCCTCCTAAGGGGTTAAGATTGGGTTGCTGGGGCAGTTTTGTTGTTGCCAAGTTTGGAGGAGGGGTTTGAGTTTATAAATACAGGGGACAGACGTTAGACGTCCTCTTGGCCGTTTTTGCTTCGGATCAAGGAGCTGCGTTGAGACGGTTGTACTCTGCCTTTCTACTTTCGATTTCCTTAGGGCCTATCTTAATTTACTAATCCACTTGTCCTTTCCCTTGTCTTAATTTGATTCCTCCATTCCCCTTTCCCTGTTCCCTCCCTATCCCTTCACTAAATTATATCCCGATTACCTCGCATTTTAGGTTTCCTTTACTAAAAGAAAGAAAGAAAGAAAGAAGGCAGTTTGCCGTCAAGGCCAGGGGGTGGGTTTCCCTCCCCCCCCAGGCCCTGCCTTCGGGCTTCGGGCTGCCTTCGGGCTGTTCACCCGTAATTCGGGGCGCCCGCTGCCGGCTGCCCGCCGCCGTCAAGGCCCCGGCTTTAAATTACCCCCCCACCCACGGCCAGTGGTCGCGCGGCGCCTGGAGGCTTGGGGGCGCGACGCTCGGGCCTCGCGGTGGTCCCGCTGATCTTTGAGCCGCCCCCCACCCCCCCTTGAGGGGCGCTGTTTCTCCTTACCTTCCCGGCTTCCGAGTGCCGCTGAAGGACGGCGTTTTTTCCCTGGCCTCTCCCGGGGCCGCGGTAGTGCCGGCTACGTGGGGGAAGCTGCTCCTTTGGCCCTCTGAAGGGGTGGGAGGCGCGGTTCGGGAGGTTTTGCCACGCGGTTGGGGCCGCTCGGTGCGGGCGGCGTAGGAAAGCGGGCGGCCTCCTTGTCCGGGCGGGCGGTTTTTTCCAGTGGTGGCAGCGCTGCTGAGCCAGCGCGGCAGCATTGGGGGGCCAGGCCTCCTTGTTTGCCGGGCCTCCCTTCCCTCCTTGTGAGTAATTGCAGGGCCGCTTCCACGGGACCGGGAGCGGCGGCCTGCATTTGCGCCCACCATTTTGGTTCCTTCCAGAGGCGCATAAAGAACTGCGGGAAGAGAATTCCTCGCGGTTGCTGTTTTTTCTGCTGACTGCCCCCCCCCCTGGTGGCCAAGAGGGTTTATTGCAGCTGGGTTTATTTGCTGAAGCTCCACCTGGTGGCTCAGTGAAGCATTGCTCCTTCTCCTGTGTGGGCTGGGGGCTCTCGGGTGCCCTCTGCTGGCTGAACGAAAAAGCGCATCTTCTTTTATTGTTCCTTTTATTCAGCAGTTTTGCAGTGAGCTGGAAAAAGCAAGTAGCAGGTATGGCTCCTAAGAAAGTCGCCGCCCGTCCCAGCTCAGCCTCTGGTGCGAAACGGCCTATTAGGGGTCCATCGCAGGCGCTTCGCTCGCCCACCCCAAGTCGACCGGTGGGTCAGGTGCAATCATTGGTGGAGAGTATGGCCAGCGATCCAGTAGCCTTGTCCCGCTTCGCAGCTGGAATGGATGGTCTTCTTCAACAATGCTCGGCGCAGCCTTCCACGTCTGGAAGGCGTTCTCGTCCAGTAGTGGCATCGTCTCCAGCGTCACCATCATCTAGCGAAGATGGGAGAGAGGGCTCATCATCTAGGGGTTTGCTGACTGATTCCCAGCTAGTCCGGCCCCGCGGCTTACCTGCTGCCCGCGGCCGTTCTCGGAGGCCTCGCCGTTCCTCTGGGAGGGCCGTGGGAAGGCTAACCCCTTTGGCAGCTTCCACCCGCCGAGGTGGGCGCACCCAATCTTCGGATGAGGTGGCGTCGGGTTCTGGTCTCTCTCTTGTCGTTTCTCCTCAATCAGCTCCAGGTACATCACAGCTGAGCCCCGATTCGGAGTCTTCCATTGAGGACAGTTTGCCAGTCCCTGCCAGGAAGTCTTCGGGCGGAAAACGTCGCCGCAGGAGGTCTTCCCGGAAGCATGCCAAGCGAAGGAGGGGCGAATCGTCTTCCTCTTCTTCTGGTACGTCCTCTTCCAGTTCTGATGATGAGGCGGGCGCTGCTAGGGAACTTTATTGGGGTTTTGGCGAATCGGCATCGGGGCCTGCCTAGGTGGGCTTGGCAGCGGAGGGCCAACACGCACCGAGCAAGGTATGGGGCTGTTCAAGAGTGCAGGGATGGCGTGTTGGTTCCCGACGTAAAAGTCTCCACCAATTCCGCCAGAGACATTATCCCAGGTGTGCACTTGTCGACTAGATTGCGGGCTAGGATACTGAATGGCCGTTATGTGGACATTTTCAAACTGGCCCCTCCTGCGGAGGACCAGGAGAAGCCGGATTCGGCAAAGACACGTAAGGGTGCTCCCGTTTCAGACAGGACTTTCGAGCTCTGGCTCGATTGTTTCCCAGGTCTTTGCTGGCGTGGTGGTGGCGGCTTACCCACGGAGATCTCTTCATTTGATAGTTTACTTATCTATTGTTCGCTCTGCTTTCACCAAAGCTGGTGGAAAAGCCGCGATTAAATATGATGAGAACTTCAGGCGCCGCGCCGCTAGGATCCCCACAGCTAGATGGGATCGTAAGGATCTCGATGTGTGGACCACCCATGTAGCTCCACTCATTGATAAGAAGGCGCCTGAGCAACCAGAACCGAAGGCGCTGGCGTTTAGGTCCAAGCCGCCGTTTACCATGCTGGGACTTTAATAAGGGTTCTTGTCAACGCCAAGGGTGTAAGTATGCACACATATGTGAGAAATGCAATGGTTCGCATCCTGCCTCCTCTTGGTTTTGGGGAACCGGCCGGCCCTTCCGTGGAGGAAAGGGGGGCGCTCCAGCAACCCCCAACAAAACACCTCTCTCCCTTCTGCATCAGGCTCAGGGAATGAGGTTTTGGAACGTCCTTGGCGCGGAACCCCAGTTCAACTTGGCCGGCTCTGCAACTTTGGTTGCCGTCCTATCCTAATAGGGACCTGCAGTTATTTGAGTAATGGTTTTTTCAGTTGGTTTTTCGGATTCCCAGTAGCCAGGCCCCCATGTGGCTCGGTGTCCTTCTAACCAAAAATCAGTTCGATGAAGTTACCTGAGGTCGCCCCGTAAGAAGATTGCAAAAGGAGGTGGCCCATAGCATCGGATGGCCTGGTCCTTTTGATGACCCCCCCTTTCATAATTTGCACGTATCCATTGGGTAATCGTGCCAAAGAAAGCCCCAGGTGAATTTCGTTTAATTCATATTTGTACATCCCAGGGGTACTAGTTTAATGATGTTTATCCCACCGGAGCTCTGCTCCGTAAGATACGCATCTCTTGATCAGGCGATCAAGATGATTCGGAAGTTTGGCCGCGCTGCCTATTGGCGAAATGTGATATTGAATCGGCATTCCGCCTTCTTCCGATTCATCGCGATGATTTTTGGTTACTGGGTTTCAAATTTGAGGGTAAGTTCTATTTTGATAAGGCCATGCCAATGGGCTGTTCGGTAGCGTGTGCTGCTTTCGAATCATTTAGCACATTTTTGGAGTGGGGCCCTCAAATCCAAAACAGGGCTGGGCGGGGTCATCATTATCTCGATGATTTTTTATTGGCCTCGCTCCTGAACACTGGTGATTGCTTGGTGTTGCTGCAAGCCTTTGCTGACCTTACGCAGGAGCTGGGGGTTCCGCTCGCAGCAGAAAAGACTGAGGGTCCATCAACTCAGCTTACGTATTTGGGTATCCTGTTTGGATACGGTTGCTCAGACTTCTAGTTTGCCAATGGATAAACTAGTAGCCTTGAGGAAGGTCATAGAGGAACTGCTCCCTTTAAAAAAATATCCCTTCAACAATTCAGTCATTGTTGGGGCACTTGAACTTCCGCGTGCAGGGTGGTGGCGCCTGGGCGCCCTTTCTGTTCACGCCTGGCTCGCCTCAACTGTGGGATTGAGGGCCCCGCACCATCGAGTGCGCTTGTCTGGGGAGGTGAGGGCCGATCTCTCCATATGGTTGGAATTCCTGGAGGAATTCACGGAGTGTCATTATGGCAAGACACTTTGAACTTGGCAAAATGACTTTCAGGTCCAATCGGATGCTGCGGGCTCCCTGGGTTTTGGTCTTTACTGGAAGGGGCGGTGGTGCGCCGAGGTTGGCCGCCTGAGTGGCGGGAGGAGCGATTACGCGGGACCTAACATTTCTCGAGTTTTTTCCCATTGCAGTGGCTGTGCATTTGTGGGTCGAGGAATTCAGGAACCGTCGTGTCTGCTTCTGGAGCCGATAATCAGGCGGTGGTTAACGTTTGGCAAAACTGTCATCGGCGCTCTCACCAGGGTGTCAGCCTTATTGCGGGCCTTCGTGCTGCATGTGTTTACGTTATAATATAGTGTTTTCTGCACGTTTTATTCCTGGGGTGTCTAACGAGATTGCTGATGCTCTGTCCCGTTTTCAGATGGAGCGGTTCAGACTCCTGGTTCCAGAGGCACGGATACGTCCGGAATATTTCCCGGATCATCTCTGGAACCTTGGCAGCAATTAGTTTTGCAGGGAGTAGCGGCATCTGTTTCCCCTTCTACCCTTAGTTCTTACACAAAAGCTTGGTCTGATTTTTTGGTTTTTATGCGCCAGCTTGCGAACTAGTAGGTGTCCCACCCACCTCTTT